CGGGACTGCAAAGTCAGACCCAGAAAGTCTGGGCCGGTGACAAAAGAGCAGCTCGCATGGATACGCCACCTCGAGCAAGGGAAGTTCGCGGAGGCGGCTCGAGCTAGGGCTGCAGCCAAAAAGGCCGAAGAGGCGATCGTCGCCGCGGCGAAGGATGTCGCAATGGCTGAGGCAACAGGTTTCAGAGTGCTGGGATCTGAAGAAGAAGTTTGAGGACACAGCAACCTCGACGATGTCCCCTTCTGGGGCATCCACTAACAATTAGCAGGATACCGGCTGGATCAAAGGTGCCTGCTAACTCATCTACTGCTCTCAGCGGAGATTAAGTAAATTTGTCATTTGGAAGGTGTGACGGACGAGGGAATGTGTGAGGAGCACATTGACTGGGTCCACCATGGAGGAATCTTCTGGTTTTTTCGGAGTTGTTTTGATTTTCTTGATTTTTCGTTTCTGTTTAATCAGCTGCACTTTTGGCAGCGATTCACGAGGTTGGAACGAGTTAGGCTGTAGGAAAGATTACAGGGAACCCTGCCGGCTCCGCCTGTCCTTGACCCAATGTGGAAAACATAGCTTTAGCTTAGGACAAAATAAACAAAACAAAACAAACCACTTTCTCTCGCGGTGATATCGTACTTGTGGGATGATGACAGCAAACTCGGTTAGCCACAGGTTTTTCACGATTTTACCTGTGGTGGGTATGCACGGAAAAGGTTGTACGCCGTAAGGGTTAAACTCGAGTGATATCTGCAAATGAAATCTGAGTGTGAGTGTTCTAAACGTCAAATTGAGTCCTACTTAAAGTACATATCTTCCGATAAAAACCTGCATGGACCTAATGGCGCCAAATCAGGAGAATAAATAATTTATCAATATATGCCAATAAATGCGAGAGAGCTTTAAAGCGACGCAACCAATTCCCCTCCTTACTAATTTTATTTCTTTGCTTTATATTCTCTATGGAATAACATCTGCAAATCATGAGAGACAACGAGAGGCTGATATTCATGTTAAATTAAATCTTCGAGCACAGGACAATAAAATCCTGGTTTTCATTTGCGATGTTGGGTCTATGTAGACGCCCACACGTCGGGTAGTTTTACATAGACTGGGCTAACCGGTACGTAGCCTTGGGAAAGGTGTTGCGCGCTGGCACGACGTAAAATAATAAACAAAACAAAAACAGAACGTAATAAGGTTCTATTATTACTAGCCACATTCATGACGACTCATACATTGACCAGCCTCCCAATTATTTCGCATAAATGAGTGAATCGTGTCCTTCACTTAGATATAGTAAACAGCTTAAATAGCGCTCTGATACTAAGTGGCTTTAATCAACAACTCTCCACTAAAGTTTTCCGACTCTTCAATCTTCCAACTCGCTTCACTAGGTGATATTAAATACAAGCCTAACAGCTTACGGTTCTCTATACAACTTCCATCACAACACTTACTACACCACCTCGCCTCAAATACCGATAATGGCGTTACTCCAATTGTAATCGAGCATTTGCCTCATAAAAAACCGGCCATCTCCCACTTCATATTTACGACGCTATGTATACCCGCGAGGAGGAATTCAAGTCATAATCTACAAAGCTCGGTTCTTGATCTATGGGGGGCCGTTGCTCTAATGGGGCTTCACATCTTGAGGGAGGACAGGCAGCTGGGACGTGGGAAGAACGAGTGAAGAGGTCGCTGGTGGGCATGCTGGGACGCACATTTTACGAGTATCTTCGATTTACGATTATCTGTGAGTGCAGAAGCAACGACTTCGAATAGTGCAACCGACACTCTAAAAACAGGCAACGATGGAAGGTGGTTTAGTCCGTCCCCTGGTCGTCATCTCCCCGAATTAAAGTCTGGATAGCCTAGACACCTACCTCACTCGAGAAAGGGAGGACTGTGAGGCCATATCTCGCGGGGTGGCTATATACAACATGACAAAGGCATGTTAGGATAGCCAAAGGTTTTTCATGTTTTCTCTTTGGTGGATATTAACGGTTGAGGGAAGGGTGAAAGTCCCTAGCACCAAGGTCTCGAGTGGTATCAGCGAATGCACCCACTACATGAGTAGCCCAAATTTCAAACTGAGTTATCGTCGTACATAGTCGTCAGAGAAGCTATTTTCTCCGTTTCATGTTCTTTGAGTGCAGGGCTTGTGCCCGTCACGAATAAATTTTTATTCATTCATTCATAGCACAGGTCACGTGCCATAGCTCTATAGCTGAACACACATTAAATGATAAAATAATATCAGCATGCTCACTTCCCACCCTGTTCATTCTTCGGCAAATTGTAACATTTGCTTGTGTTTAGAAATTGGATGAATTTCTGCCATCTATTCTCCCCGATTATTTCTCTGGCCCAAGGTGAAGCCATTTTCTCACGGCTTTTTTTTGTACTATATTTTATTCATGCCAGAATTTATAATAATTGGGGCTATCAAGTAGGCCATGTCGTTGGTACACATGTGACTATAAATGATGTACTTGGTTTCACTTCGGTAGTTACTTGTATCAATGCGCTCTACAACCTCAATGACTGAGGGGTCATTATTTCCTTAATAATTCAGCTATATAGCCATGACAATTGAGTTTATATTTATTTACAATGAGGATGGCACAATTTAACGCCCTAACTTCTTTTCCACACTATTATATGCCCAATGTTTATGTACCTATTTGGTCTCCTTTGTATGCTGACATACAATTGGTAGATTTCAAAATTTTTAGAAGGGCTTCCTTCCCCCTTTTTGTTCTCAATAATATCTGTAATGAAAGTGGTTTTATTTCAGCAAATGCTGATTCCCTTTGCTTGCAAAACCTGGTACAATAGAGAAGTAAATTTTTTGTGGTCTGCTTTTTAGCCTTACAAAAGTTGCAACATTTGTCTTTGGCTTTTCCAATTCCAGTTCTGGCCTGGATTCTCACAGCTTTTCCAACGTTGTAAGGTAGTTTGGCACTCTGCAAAATGCCAGGGTCTCTTCTCTCGGCCGCAAACGCATTTCAGACCTTCCAATTCGGGGTTGAAACGTCGATGGTAGTCAGCATGGTCTTCGTGGTCTGTTTTTACAGCAATAAGACGGTGGTACGCCAAACTTGGTAGAGCTAGTACCGGTAGACTTTAACAGCGCATCTAGAGGTCGAGATCTTTGTATCTAATTTTTTTATTTCATTAAGTGTGTCGGTTCATAGGTGAATGGCGTTTGGATAAATGGCTTGACTTGGACATGTACTTCTGTAAGAATTAGTCAATCTATCACGTGACTTGGCTCGGGCGCCATGCTCCAATTTGTAATCTAGATACTAGTTCTTGAGAAAAGAGAAGAGGGGAGAATAGATAGAATGATACCACTTATTTATAGCACTTTTGAGGCACTGAACCAAGTGAACTCCGTTGTACCAATAGAGTGTTTGCAGCCTAACTAGCTATGACATTAAAGATCTTTGAATCGTTTCGGCCGATACTTCTGCCACCACTCTTATACGAGCTCTTGGCTGCGCTGTTTAACCCACCTCCCTAATACCGCAAAGGTTATATGTTGATCTTCTCCACTGGGCGCGGCTGAGGTTAGTGGCCGGTTGCTGAGAGCTCCCAAGGCTAATTTGGCCAGCTTATCGGCCTCTTCATTGCCTCGAATCCCCATGTGACCAGGTATCCAGCGTATTTCCACACGCTCATTGTGTCTCAGCGACGAAAACTCGTCCACCACTGCCTGCGAGGAATTCTGAGCCAAGATTGACTGGAACTGGTTAAATTCAATGAGATAGACCGAGTGGCAGACGTGTATGGTTGAAGGGATTAGGTATGGATAGCTCATGACCGAACTAGTAGGGAACATCAGTAAAACATATGTATGCGAACTATCGCTGTGCAAGGGACAAATTTCAATCTAGATTACTCTGGATTCACGTCGCGCAAAGATAATAATACTGTGGAACCTCCAGAGCCCAGATAAAGTGATACATTAGTTCTCACTTTCATCAAGGTTCCCAAACTATCTCGCTGTCTACATTGTCTTTATGCCTCGGTACAACCACCCAGCACCATTGTGATGAAGCTAACCACAACTAGACCTTATGGTAGAGTCTTAGCCATGCTCATCATCTTATTTTTCTTGGATACGGAAAAGAACTCATCTTATGGGTTTCCGGAGCATACCCAGCTTCTGATATGGCGATTATAGGTTGTAATTAGTTGACCTCCATTGTTACAAAGTAGGGAGATATTGACGGGCATACGCGCCTCATGTGGCTCTGGTGTTTAGGGGTAGTGCTACTCGTGTAGAGGTTTCTGGAGACTTTTGCTTACACAAGTAGACTCCATTGCTACCATTTTTATTTCTTTAGATAGAAGATTCTTTAGAAAAAGTGGCTCACTTCTACGCAGAATTACGGAGCTAAATTGATATAGATCACGCTAGTTATAACAATGATCTCTTTTTTGTAACAAAAGAAGTAAGGAGCACTTGAAAAAGCGTGACATGAGCCAGAGAGGTGCCTAGGATGCTAGAGAGAAGTATTTGATCAAGACTATAAAAATTAAACAAAACAGGGTCCGATGTAGATTTTTTATTCCTAGAATCATAAATCGGCTAGCAAATTATTCAATTCTCTGATCTAGTCATCATATGCAATTTTGTTAGTTCATAAGTAAGATGGGTCATTTTAGTTGGACACATGAGCCAATTACCGCCATCGAGGGAATAACAAACCAAATAAATTTTACACTAGACGAGAATTATGAAGGCCGTCACTCGGGAAGTAAATCCGACAAATAAGAACAAATAATGTAACATTACCAATGAAAAATAATAACGCAACAATTAGAACAAACCCACCAATATTTTTCTTTGTTGTTCATTCTGGGCTAATAATATCACGTTAAGTCTTGCAACTGAAATTTTGGCATCTTGATGATGTTGTCAAACCTCTCCAACTCAAAAAGTACTTTACAGTTTCCATCTACACCAGTACATTTATGTGATATTGTTATAAATGGCCTACAATCCCAGGGCAAGTATGGTACCCGTATCTCAGCAGAGTAACCGTGGTAAGAAAAAAGAGGAGGATAGTGATGCATTCATGCGATTGGTGAGTTATCTTTATGATGTTTGAATGTTTACTAACTTAACGAGCCTGATAAAGAAATAGTCGGATGTATAAGTGATATAGGTGTTCCTTTTACCGTTGCAGATCTGCAGAAGCCAAATCCACTTCAGATTCAGATGATATTTGAATGGTTTGCGGAGTTACTAATGAATGCAACTCGCAAGACTGTTGATCCAGCGATGCGTTCTGCTGCTGAAGATATTTGCGGGGAATATTTGGATATCATACCATCCGAAACGAGAAACCTAATGGGATTCTACGTCAGTTTACGCAAGCTTCTAATAGAATGTGGGATTACAGACTTTTCATTTCAAGATCTATACAAACCAACACATGATCGGCTAGTGAAGATATTTTCATACATGATAAATTTTGTCCGATTTCGTGAAAGCCAAACCGATGTGATTGATGAGCATTTTAATAAAGCTGAGACTACAAAAATCCGCATAGAATCCCTGATGAATGAGAATCAGGAGATGGAAATGCACCTAGACGATATGAAGCAAAATCATCGTTCTATGGAGATTCAACTGGCCGAAAAAGCGAAGAGAAACGAGGAAATCAAAAAGAGACTCCTTGACCTCCGTCAAAGTCAAGAGAACGTCATCCGTCGATTTGAGAACGTTAAATCTAATAAGGGTACACTAACACTGACTCTAGAAAATAAGACTGCGGAGATAATATCATTACGACAGGAATGCGCTAAGCTCAAACCGTATGTATTGCAGTCTCCAGCTGCGCTTCAAGCTTCTCTCGCCGAACTCTTTAATGTCTTAAGTTCAGAAAAGAACCAAGTAGATGCACTTGATCGACGAGCACGTGGGCTACAGACGTCAATAGATACTTTTTCGGTAGTTACATTAGATGTCACGTCGTGTCTCAAAATTCTGGAAGAGATCTCAGCCGAAATGGGGAAAGAAGAAGAAGAAAACATTCGAATTACAAGCCAAAAGGAGATTTTAGTAGAACGAGGTAACAGCTTAAGAGAAATAGAAAGGACAGAAAGTTTACTGCAACGTCAATTGTCCAAGTGGATAGAGCGAACCCAGAAACTCAGAGAAACCTCAAAGGGTAAAGCGGTCACTGCGAAGGCCAAATTGGAAGATTTGAGAACTGTTCATCGGCAGCTGACTGAGGAGAGAGCCGAAAAGGGACGGGAGATGGAAAGAAGGAAAATGCGAATAGAGCTGACAGAAAAGAAGGTAAGCGATTTTACATTATTTTGATTTAGAATGTTCTAACTTTAATTTTAGATGACAGAATTAAAGGAAACGGTTCAAAAAGAGGTTCACAATGCGCATGATGAATTCTTAAACATGGATTCCCACATAAAACTTTACATAAATGAGATGGAACAACTTATCTGATTAAATTTCCATAATATGTAGGATTGTGATAGTGACTACTATTGCTTCTATTTCCAAGTTTGAGAGAATCCATGTGTTAATATTGTGGTCAGGTTGTCTTAGGCCAGGAATCACACAGTAGATTAATTTAGTTTTCCCATTTGTGATCAACAAATTCAAACCACTGTTCTATTACTTTTTTTATTTCTACAGTTCTTTCTGTCCGCTCATTTTCTTCGTAGTGGGGGCTGGCGTATTTAACGCTACTACCAATTAATGGGATCCTTCGTTCCCATACCCTCCGTCGTTGTGAATCAACAGCTTGGATATCACTACTTACGATATTATTCAGTCTCAATGGCTCTACAAGCAATATCTTACTTTCTGTTCTTTGACCGGCTTCGACAAGCCCAGAAATGGTGTTTCCCAGTTCCTGAAGATTTGACTGACCTGATTCTCCATGAAGTTCGACCAGGCCAAAGAGGACTAGTAAAGGAATAATTTTTGAATCAGTTGTCTCACTGACGGGAAGATAAGAGGGGTTGTTTTGATGGGAGAAAACGGCTAGAAAAGCGCGTAGGTGTGACAGTGTAGGCGTGAACACAACATTCGTACGTTGCGATGCCGCGACTTGCCCAATTGTCGGTGTGAGAAGAGCGAGAGCGTGTTGGGGTTGCCGTGATGGTGTTTGTGACTTAATTAATAAGTTAGAGCCGCCAAGAGTTTTCTCTGCTGGCTGTTCGTGAACGGCTTGCGATACATTTTTTTGAAGGGATTCCATAAAAGCTTCATGATTGTGGCAAATAATTAACGTCGTTTGATGTGCCTCTTGTGCTAAGATGTAACAGAGCAACTCTGAAGAAAGTGCTGAAGGAAAGGCTAGGAGCGTGCGAGACATGCAATGCTTTTGGGTATAAATGTAAATTTTGTTTGTAATTTCCTATACAGCATTTGCCGATTTAATTTGGTTGGCGCGGTTTGCCACTTTAAGAGAATTGGACAAGTTGCCAATGGCTTGCTGTAGCATCTAGACTCAATCATAGTCAAGTTCCGAGTACTTATGCTGAGTAACAACAGACAATCAGTTTTGACATGGCTCTCGCATTCTCCGTATCAACACAATGGAATCAATATCTAGAATATCTAATCTACTTGAGAGCGGTACGATTCCCTCCAAATCTCCTCATTGGTTGAGTTGTTTGCTAATACTGTTCGCCCAGCGAGAGAGTTAACACTTGATGCAGCTCAGTCTGCAAGAAGCTCGCAAGACCCTTCGAAGACTGTTTCGGCTCCATTGATCAAACGATTGCTAGACAGTCGGAATAATCGAGATATATTGGATGGCTTGCGGAAAGTGATATCGGTACGTACAAGTCATATTTACTGTAAGGAAAGAATTATTGATACGCATGAAGTGTTATCTAACGTGTATGTGTTATAGCTAATGTACCGCTCTCAACCATGTGTCGAATTCTTCTCATCCGTCGTAAAAAATGTAGCCTCTTCAAATATTGAAATCAAAAAGCTTGTTTATATTTACTTACTCAACCATGCCGAACAAGAACCCGATCTCGCACTGCTTTCAATTAACACAATACAAAAATCACTCTCTGATGGAAACCCACAAATCCGTGCTCTGGCACTCAGAGCAATTTCAGGGATACGTGTACCGGTCATAAGTCAAATTGTTTCTCTCGCCATTAAAAAGGGGATAAGTGACATGAGTCCGTTTGTGAGGAAGGCTGCCTCGTTAGCCATACCAAAATGTTACAGACTAGATCCCAGCACACTGCCACAGCTTCTTACCTATTTATCACTTTTGCTCGGGGATAAACAATGCCAAGTATCTGGTGCAGCTGTTATGGCTTTTATGGAAGTTTGCCCAGAGCGGATTGACCTCATTCACCAACATTACCGGGGGTTGGTCAAATCTTTAGTTGACATGAATGAGTGGAGTCAATTGGCAACTCTTAACTTAATGACTATTTATTCAAGGAAGTGCTTCCCGAGGCAAAATCGAAAAGCAGCTAAAAGCCACGTTGTATCCGATGCATTTTACGGCAACGAAGGGCACGATAGCCTGGAAGACGTACAGGAATTTCAAGTTCTTGATCCCGATCTTGAACTGCTGTTAAAAAATATCAAGCCACTTCTACAAAGTAGAAACTCTGCTGTTGTAGTAGCTGTATGTCGCTGTTACACAAACCTTGGCACAAATGAATACATAAATGCATCGATTGGACCTCTTGTAGCGCTTCTACGAGGACCCCAAGATATTCAACATATCACGTTGCAAAATATCGTCCTAGTTTGCATCAAGAATCCTAAGGCATTTGTCAAGTATGTTTCTCATTTCTTGGTACATATCACAGACTCCCCAAATGTTTGGAAACTTAAATTAGAGCTTCTGACATTGATTTTTCCTCACTGTCACGAAAATCTCAAAAGTCTTATTCTAAACGAACTCGAACATTTCTCGCAGAAGTCCACCGAGAGCGAATTGACACGAGAAGCCGTGAGAGCTATTGGCAGGTGCGCTCAGAGTGATAATAAGAAATCATCGCTATGTTTGCGACTACTTCTCAAACAAATTAATAGTCAGGATGGAAACCTTGTGGATGAGTCACTGACAGTTATTCGCCACTTAATTCAACAAGACCCTGGCTCTCACACAAATACTGTAATCAGGCTCGCAAAAAATCTTGACTCGACCTCAAACCCAAGGGCGCGAGCTAGCATAATTTGGCTTGTTGGGGAATTTTCAGGAATTGACGGATCAGATAATATTGCTGCTGATGTCTTACGGATTCTCGCCAAAGGGTTTGCTGAAGAGGCTGAATCCGCAAAGCTACAGATTGTTCTACTGGCTGCCAAAGTATATCTCCAACACCTAACAAGTGCAGATTCTCATACTCCGAATAGTGCAATTAATCATCATCTACATAATAACGCCATCCACCAAGATTTTGATAATAATTTCCAAGATTTACGAGAAGGATGCCCCGTTTCACAATCTAGTTCAAGGCCTGAACATCCCATCGTTTTGCTCTGGAATTATATTACCTTACTCGCCCGCTATGACACCTCATATGACTTGCGTGATCGAACACGTCTATACAAGGCCTTGCTAGCAGTACCATCCACAACTGATCTAGCAGCCTTGATGTTACTCGCTCCTAAACCTGTTCCACATATCGCTAGTCCATCAGAAAATCGGATAGGATTCACACTTGGATCGGCAAGTCTCGTATTGTGTGAAAATAGAGGATTCCATGGCATACAAGGATATGAGGGCTTACCTGAGTGGGTTCAACCAGGATTTGAGCCAGATCCCTCATTACGCGAGATAGATACATCGAAATTGGAATATGACGTCACTAGAATTATTCCTGCTGGAGAAAAGCTGGACATTGCCGTACAACATGGGGAAAATAGGCCATTATCGGGTGTGAATGGACCAATCGCGAATGCAGACAAAGCGAAGACACTTGATTGTTGGTTGGCAGAGGGAGATGACGATAATGAGCATGGTGTAAATGATGATCCTGAAGACGAAAGTGAAAGCGAGGATGACGAGGATCAGAATGAGGATTATGAAGACGACAGTGAAGAGTATAGTGAAGAAACTTCACAAGAAGAAAGTAGCAACGATGAAGGTAGCAACGAGTATAATTTACTTGTTAGATGAAAACAACTAGGCGTGAGAAAAATAGTATGAAATTTATATATTATACATGACAAATCTTAATGAACACTTGCATAAGGCCTTAGAACTAGCTTGATGACATACCTTATATCGAAAATATCGCCTGCAGCAATTTTGTGTGGAATCATTGTCTCATTAGCTTCGTAATCTCCAAAAACTAGTGTAAAGATATAGGAATAAATAAAGAAGAAATTAAAGGCAAGAAATCAAAAGTTCAACGACTCTCTCCGTTGATATCAATTCCAAGCCATGAACAGCCCGCGAAACTAAGTTGTAATTGAACCCAACAATAATTTTGCTACTTCTACAGTGAAGGGCCAGAAATTAGCCGCCATTCATCTAATTCGTAGGACAATAAGACGATGGTGGTCTCGAGTTAAAGTCATCACTTGGACTTAAAGATCCCAACTATCAATATTTGTCTGATCACGTTTGGTTTACCATCGACGGCTATTCAATGTCAGAAAAGGTGTTCCTGTAGAGATTTTGACTTTTTTAACGTACCTGTATGCTTCCTCAACTTTTGGCTGCTTCCTTAGTATTTTTGCAGATTTATCTCTCTGACGATTACTTTGCTCGGAGCCTAGAGATTTTACTGTAATTTTGTCCAAATACTCAATAGAAGAAATATTCGATAGTCCATTGACTTGGCCTTCGCCTACTTTCAACAAATAGCTTTCCATTACAATACTCTGCTCACCTATATTTTTATCCTGTAAATCTGACTGGCCTTGCTTTTTGCTGGATGACTCTAGTTTTGCTGATTGTTGCCTTAGACCAAAATTATAGTCTGAATTATTTGGGCCACTTTGGGCCGGGCATTTTTCAAGAAATCTAACCTTTTTCCCCACTAGATTTGGAATGGTTTTCTTGCTGATAAACGATTCGACATTTTCTTGGTCATATCGATGGATTACCTGCTCGTGTAAATGGGGCAGCGCTTTATCTTTTAATGGTGGACCATGCTGCTTGGCAAAATTATGTCTGTCTTCATTAGCGTTATTACTTGGCGGTTGGCGAGTAAATAATTTCTTTTTTTCTTCAAAATTATTTGGTTTTACAAATTGTTTTTGCAAAGGAGCATCGTTGGAATTGGTGGAATGTCTAGTTTGGCGGATCAAACCGTATGGACGCTCATTTTTAGCGCTATTTCGACTGTAAAATAGAGCATCTAGTGAAAGATTCGGGTTGAAAGCTAGCTCCTTTTTGCATGACTTTTTACGAGCGTTTCCTAGCAATTTAATACATGACGAAGCAATGCTAGAGTTTGAGCATGAAGGATCAATTCGTCCAGGCTGGCTGGAATCTATCTCAATATTTTGAGGTCTACTGTAGGACTTATTTAACTGCTGTCTATTTTGTTGATGTAATGTTTTTGGGTCATGTGTTCCATGATCTGTGTTTTCACATTTAATTAGACTTTTATCATGGTCATGCGTATCAAGTATCTTAGGCTGTTGGTCCAAACTTAAATTTGAATCAGGCAGATCATGCATGGAAATATCTTTATGGCTGTTGAAATTCGAAACCAGAGTCTGCGATTTCTTACACCGTAGTCGACTCAAGTTTGAATGGTGAAATTTTTGTTTCGATAGCTTGCCAATTTTTTGGGTAGAACTTATGTGACTGGAAGTGGTAGGTGAAGACGTTGTCGAACAAGCGGAGACTACATTAGAAAGATTAACAAATTTTCTTTTTTCAGAAAGGCGATTCAATTGCGCAAATTATCTGATGCAAAGTATCTCCAGAATTCTCTGATTTTGTAACTTAAATACAATTCAAAGTATCTTCTTTATCATTCTTTAGAACAAAAGGATTCCACTGACCTGAAACAGCTGTATTCTTAGTTTGGAATTTCGCAGTATCAGAACATTTAGCGCTCTTTCTTGACCTAGTAGATGATTGTGTGTCAACACATCTAATTACATCCTTTGGCTTCTCGTCATTGTAATCAGTTCTGTGCCTCTTTGTGGAGATATTATCTAGTTCAGGGTTGTTATTTGTTTCGTCTCGCAGATCTAAATCATTCGTTTCGTTTAACCTTGTCCGCTTAAGACGTGCTCTATCCGCATATCTTTCAGATAATATTTCAAGTAATTGATTCTTCCCATGACGTGATGCAGTCCATGTGTGAATCTGATCTAATGGGATCAATTGACCATCAAGACAATTATCTGAAAAAGCTGGATCTTCCTGCATATAAGACCACTGAGGAGTACTGCGAATGCTACGAGTAAATTCCTTTAAATTTTCTTTCCGAGCGTACCTTGATATCGATGCACCTAATTTCGAGCAAGGCTGCATCAATGGTACGGGGGTTGATTTAAAAGCCACGGCTAACGGCTGAGCAAGCGCCACCGTTTCAGCTACTGGAGGGTCTTTAAATATATTTTCATATTCCCATTCCCAAGAATCTTCTTGATTCTCTACATCGAGTAAATTTTCAGATTTAAAATTTAATCTTGTTTCTTGAGATAACACCCTTGGGTCGGTGCTAGCTCCAGGTGAATTAGCCGCGACTTTTGCAGCTGGTTGAGTTTGATATAATCTATTTTGGTTCAAACTAGGGCTGACCAGGTAATCTAATATGTAGTCACAAGGAGATGACCCAACATTTGATCTTAATTGTCGACTACACTCGCTTGGTTTGGAATCTTGACTGATTTTGGATTGAAAGTTATTATTGATAGGATCCTGTAAATTTCGACCTACCATAAAGGTCTGATCAGACAAAAGACCAGGAATTAATTCAGGACTTAGCGTATGGTATTCGGGATTGGATTTTTGATAAGACCATGTATTTGGAGTTACTGGGTAATATGACATTGATATATGTGGCCCGGATGAAAGGTTCTGTGGATGAATATAGGATGGGAATATTTGATGGGTGGAGCAAGCTGGATACCCATATTGATATTCTGGCAACGTAAAATTGGGGCCTGTGTATTGATGTGGTCCATTGCACTGATAAATTGGACAAAAACTTGGAGAGGAGGTTTGAGATGAAGCTTCACACAGCGGATGATCACACGCAAGTGAAGAACCGTGACAAGCACTTTCACAGGGTGAATATCGTTGCTGGTAATCAGGCCTAATTTGTTGGTGGTAGGAGTGAATATTGGGTGCTGATGGGTTTAGATATTGTGAATGGATAATCGACGCAGTTCCGAGATTTCTGTGAATGTTACTATTCTGCTATTGCCGTAAATGTGAGTAGTTTTAGCTTGAAGAATCGAATCAGAAGAACGATGTGTCGTAAATTAGTCTTATCCATTCAAATAAACCTAGATTAAGACACTAAAATATACATGAAATATTCCAAACCTTTAATGCTAGGGGACTACTCTTTTAAGTGATCCATAGTTTCGATGTTTTTAAAATCCTAAAGAAAGATGAAATGAATAAACATGGCTTACTCTGAAGATTCACGTGATACCAGCGGACATGCAACGACAAAGTGACCAGTGACCCCACAATTGAAACAGACTGGAGGTGGATTCAAGATATGTCCGCGCTCCGGCAAAAACTGAGAACCACTCATGTGGGATAAAACGGACTGGCTTGACTGAGGCCGGGCAGGCGAAATCCGCAAGATTTGATATTGCTTCTTCTGGACTTATACATCGAGTCTGTGAAGCTTGAGCAACAGGGTAAACAACTTCAACATAATATGCAATATGCCCTAAGAATTTGCGAATTATTGTTGTTTCAAATAGGAAAATTGGAGAGAGCGCCAATGCAAAATATTAGCGCTTTCCAATCATGAAATTATAGTAGTGATGAAGGCAAGTGGATGGTTGAAAAGCTATTCGAACATAGGGATTTCCATGAATTTAATTTAACCAAAAAAAATTTGTAAATTAATTCAAGCTCAAGTTGATTAAAAGAGAATTGTAGAAGACATAGTATCCATGGTAGTATGAGCGAGTTATATATACATATGCAATATCCTGTAGCAGACCCGCTTAATTCAGTATCTTGCGTATTTCCATTTCTGCATGGTAGTGCCTGTTCTAGCGAATCAGTGTTCAGAATTTCTCAAGGCCCATCACTCGTCTGCTATCACCCCACGTCGCGATCCTCACAAATCAACCTTGGATCTCATATTTGGTTCTATGGCCTTGATGTTACATTGGATTGACTTCCTTCATGACTTGAAGCAAACCTGGCGACCATGTTTTGGCTCCGCATTCTTTGCTAAGAAAATAACGAGGGCCAGCTCTTTCCTTCTAAGCTGAGGCACAGGCAGCTTTTGGTAGACTGAAGGTTCTCACAACATGCCTAGTCTGCCAGGTATTAATCCTCAACTATTCCCTAGAATAGCCAACAACTGATATATTTTTCTAGCATCCGTCGACCTCGACAAATGTATAGAGAGCCTGTACATGAAAAATTTACTCGCAGAATCCCTGGTTGAGGCTATTTGCGCAAAGACCAAAGAACTTTTAATGCAAGAAAGTAATGTCGTACATATACAAGCTCCTGTAACAGTAGTAGGTGATATACATGGACAATTCTATGATTTGATTGAGATTTTTAAAATCGGAGGGTTTTGTCCCGACACAAACTATTTATTTCTAGGTAAGCCATCGGCCCTGTACAAACATCCTGAGCTACTAACAAACACAGGTGATTATGTAGATCGAGGAATGTTCAGTGTAGAGACTATCTCTCTACTAGTCTGCCTCAAACTACGCTATCCACACAGAGTACATTTGATACGCGGAAACCATGAATCCAGAGGAGTTACACAATCCTATGGTTTCTACACTGAGTGCTCAAGAAAATACGGAAACGCGAATGTTTGGCACTTTTTTACAGATATGTTTGATTTTCTCACCCTTAGTGTCGTTATAAATGATCAGATATTTTGTGTGCATGGAGGTAGGTTCTAAGGAGTTGACAAATTTATATCAACCTAATTACATGACAGGTCTCTCCCCCTCTATTCATTCAATCGACCAAATAAAGGTTATAGACCGATATCGTGAAATACCCCATGAAGGTCCTATGGCGGATCTAGTCTGGTCCGACCCAGACCCCGAGCGTGACGAATTTTCGTTGTCACCCCGAGGAGCTGGGTACACATTTGGTGCAGAAGTCGTGAAAAAATTCCTAGCAGTGAACAATATGACACACATTCTTCGCGCGCATCAGTTGTGTCAGGAAGGATATCAAGTTCTATATGATGACAGATTGAGTACCGTGTGGAGTGCTCCAAATTACTGCTACAGATGTGGAAATATGGCGAGTGTACTCGAAGTCAGCGACTTAGGTGAAAGGTTCTTTAATGTGTTTGCGGCTGCTCCAGAAAACGACTTCTTAAAAGGAGAATTGCATAATGGAACCGAAAAAGTATCCGATGGGAATTCATTGCCGGATTACTTTTTGTAGATACAATGAAAATGAAAAACTAATCCTCTATCAGCCTTCTGCGAAAGGAGATTCATCATATGGATCCGTGACTCAATCCATTTGTATTAACTCCAATTTAAATATAGATAAATTAGGCGTCAATGTTAGTGTATCAGTTGTTGTACCACAAGTAATCCATAGATCTCTTGCTTAAAACTGTCACTCACAGCCTGCATCTTATGTTGGACTCAATTTGTGCTGATCTGGTAATTTCTGCGGTATTTCAAACAGGCATTGCTAACATCTACCAGTCTTTTCCAATCATAATTGACCATTCAAATATCAAATGAACTTTCTTGTCGTCATCTATGAAGTTACTAATGACAGTGTAGTTTCCTCGGGCCATAATTCCTGATGGGGCAGTATCTACGGCAACTTTTATTCGCGGTTAGCAATACACAGGCATGTAAGGAAGTAAAAATTTCTTACATCTCTTGGTGTAAACCGGATTCGCCTCAGTATTTGGTGCATAAGAACCCTGGATCTCATCGTCAGTTATACAATCGAAATGGTTGCGATCGAGAAAATCCTTACAATCATCTCTTGGTCCTTTCTGACCCTAATTCCTTTTCGCTTTATTATCTGAACATAGTGCAGGCCACTTAAGATTTCGTGTTGAACCTTAAATTTGGCCGTCATTGAGTAGCTAGCACCTTCCTTAATTTTGAATGGCTTATCTTTAAGAGTAGATAGCGAATCTTCTTCAGAAAGATCAATAGTTACTGGTGGACGGTCTTGAGACTCCATAGTTAAGGATAAGATTATACATTGTCGGGGATCATTGGGATCAGTTAGGTATTTTCCGTCTCCTCCTATACCGAGAGACCTTTTATATCTCTGCATAGCCTCATCTTCGGCATCTTGAGTATCACAAAATGTCAGTATGTTTTACCAAATATAATATTGTTTAACATAAGCTGTTAAAATTATGTGAACATAACTGAGAGAAAATGCCAAGAAAACTTGTATCAACATGGCTAAAAGTGACATTCTAGAGCTACATCAGATATTTTTCAAGATTCTTAGTAGCTCGGATAATACATGATTTTCGACTGAAAGACGAATTCCTTCGCAGGTCTAAAAGTAAGAATTGATCCGTAATAATAAAGTATCTCTGTCATTGCTCCAGGAGCTGTAGTAGCTTCTTTCAAGTAGAAACGATAAGCAACTGCCAGAGAAATTGACATATCTGAGGCTAGGCATTTCGCACGTGATGATTCATTACACCTGAATTTGGTAAAACAGTTAGTTGCACTTGCAACATTAGTGGGTATAGAGAGCTGTAGCTAAAACAATTTTTAGACTACAGCTCACAGTAGTAAGCAGGAAAATAGATAAGCAGGAGCATCAACGAATAAGACCATAGATTAATACTCGGAAATATGATAAAGGATACGAGTTCGTAATTGTAGCACAATTGAAAAGTAGAGATCATGTAGTAATATCACATCTCTTGATTCTTAATGCTTTTGACTTTTGTGGATAGGTGGCGAGTCGATCGACTGTAACATACCGAGTTGCTGATATTCATTCATTGTCTTCTTTTCCCCAACCCTAAACCCCTCTGTCTGTTCGGGTAGGACATCTTGCTCCTGGTCATTGCCTTGAGAAGACATCTTCAATATTTATCACGTAATGATGGAGCCGGTATTTCGATCCCTAAGTTGTAGTCACTATTATTTATAAGGCGAAAGGAAAGAGGGGCCGGTGCGCCTGGGTTTCAGACTGACTGATTACTGCCCCTTAGTCTGTCAAAGTGGGGTATGCGACACTGAAAGCGGTCTAACATTCATCATCACGTGCCTCGATCGGGCTGACGTGGATGGCTATCCTCAAGGCCCAATTGCACAAGATTCATACAACTTGTGCCGTAAGAGTATGTTTTGGATTTGTAACCAGCACGTGATTATGGGGACAGGAATTACCATTAATTGCCTTTAGTTTGATTGATTGATCTAAATTTAAGTCTCTACTGAGTCCTAGACTATGAAAGACTACGTAAAGATCTATCAGAATAGCTCTTGAATTAATAGGTTAATTTTTTATTTGAATATTACAATTATATGCCAGTTTATTCTGAGGGTCATGCCCTAAATGCCTTTGGTTTATTCCCAAGGTAGCAACTGAACACCTGTCAGTGCCACCCTCTGAAACTTGTATTTAGGTATAGTTTCAGTGCGACTTATCAGGTGTTCCGAATGACTGGCTTTGCAAAACATCTATATTGATCGTCGGTCAGGAATGGTGTTGCTTCTCTATGGTCGAAACCCCGCACTACAGAAATTAATAGAGCGTACAAACGTATATAAAACGAATACAAACATTAAGCAGGTATCTAGTTTACTTTGTACCTCTTTAACCTTTCTAAATTCCAAATCAAAGGAAACCTTTTTTACACAGGTTGGTAGATAGCAGATGGCTCGTGACCACCTTTTCGAGCCCCCACCCACCAAAAGACATGCCCGCCAAAACAGATAAATTCTAGACCAAACAGAGAAAGTAGATTTTTTGGGAAAATACGGACGATGTCTACTGCAGACAAAAAGGAGCGAACTTCTCGTAAAGATAACAAAACTAGTGGTATTTAAAAGGATAGATGCTGGGCAATGAGGATTGCGAAGGCAAATGAGTGAGATGAATGTAGACTAGTTTACCACATTGGGGAATAACGAAGATTTATATTTTATCCAATTCTCGTAACATTATTTGGGAGCAGGGCGGTGGGCAGGATCATTCTGAATTTTCGTGCATTCTGATTACTTATTTATAATATTGAAATCGTGATATTGGATAGTTTGGATGGACTGAGACAACCTGTAATTAGTCTTTAACCTTGTATTGTGCGCCGGCGGGACGTTACAATTTATACAAAGGGGCTGAATATTGATTTAGTTATTAAAGAGAGTGATGATAAATGGATTAGGCAAAGCTAGATCGTCTATTTTAGACATTGTATACGCTGCTAACTCAAATTTTAAGCTAACACGACTCTATGACAGAGCCTGCGTTAAAACACGTGTTAAGGATAAACTTTACTAGCCTGAAGTTAAAGGTAAGAAGTTTGGGGCAGCTGACCAAGCGTTAGGCAACACTCATGTTGCTAATAGTTTCACGAGAGGAGCTCGTATGATAGCCCCTCTTGATACATATCCTAAGCTTGATGTATCCGTACCTCATCATAATATCTTCCCTCATAAACTAAAGTTACTCGCTTGATCTATCAGAACATTAGAATCAAAATTTATACGGCCTATTAGAAGCCTTCATTTCAATATCAGCGGCGCGAACCAAGGTAGCAACTGAAGCGGTAGATTTCCGACGCGACCGACACGCCGAAGCAACAACGATATTTGGATCAAAATTATACATCAACACTACACGATATAGATTGCAGGGAGACCGAGCATTTATCTAAATGCGCATCTGCTTATAGACCGTTTCTCTAGTAAAATTTCGCATGGAAAACTTATTTGGTACCAGTGAATGGAATTTGATGCCACGCGCAACTTTATTTCAACATAATATTTACTGCAAATAAGCCCTCTAAATACTCAAATAAAAATTAAAAGAAATAGGTCACGGCAGTACAATGGCGCAAGATCGAAGTCTCCCCAAAAAACTAAATCCTCTGATGACGGAAGAGCTTCCATCTTGTAAGACAACAGCGGAAACTTACAGCTAAAAATCTAATGAGACATAGATGAAACCTTGGTAGCAAGGCGACGCCTTGGTCAGACTGAGTTGACCGTCAAAATAGTTGCTGGGACACCTGTTTCCAAAGCTAAGAACTCTACCACGTTTGACTACGCTCATCTACGTGCACCACTTCCAAAAGGAGTCGTATCGGGAATTTTCAACCCATCACCGCCATCCTACTTTTTGATGCGCCGCAGTGATGATGGATACGTAAGCGCCACTGGTATGTTCAAGGCGACGTTTCCCTACGCAACAATTGCGGAAGAGGAACAAGAGCGGAAGTATATAAAATCATTACCAAGTACAAGCAACGACGAAACTGCTGGAAATGTGTGGATTCCACCACACCACGCTCTAGAGCTAGCTGAAGAATATCAGATCCTTCTATGGATTCAGGCATTGCTAGATAATACGCGTAAGCATTTAATAACCTATCAACCCACTATCACAGCACTTACCTAACCAACTATTCTATAGCTATTGATACAGCTCCCTCTAAGGATGATAAAAGAATAATAACCCCCCCTCCTCCATACCTGCCAAACTCCAAGTCAATAATTCCGCTTACTTCGTTGCGTGCTCGTCCTCCAAGATTAATTTCTTCCAGCGCGAATGTCTCGCCCAGAAAGATTGCTGCAATTAGAACTCGCACATCTAAAATAAACACCAGGACAGAAACTAAATCCTTTGCCGAGAATTCAAAAGCCCAGACTCAGACCGATATTACAGGGGCTACAGAGACTTCCTCTGAAACAGTAACTCAAGAGATGGAGAACAACTTGTCTACAGAGCCAGTTGAGACGCCAATTGTAGCCAATTGTTCTCTTGAGCTTAATGATTTATCGCCAGACTTTGAGGCGAAGTCAGAACCCGAGACTGCGGAAAGGTGCGAAGAAAACCTTGAGACAGACCCCTATCACGATACAAGTTCAACAATTTTAGAAACAGCGTCATCATCGTCATCTCATGAATCCGAAGGTACAGATCATGAATTTACGATAACATCATCAGTAATTTCAGAAGAACCTCCTGAACCATTGCATATTAAAGAAAACAACTTTAAAGTGACAAGCGAAAAAGAATATTCTACGTCTGCATTACCATCTCCAGAGGAAACTAAAGAAATTTTAATCAAGGCTAGAGAAATGGTCGAAGCTGCTCTAGAGCATGATAACAAAACACCAATATCGAGAAGTTCAAAGCGAAAATCAGATAAGATTCAAGCAGAATCTCATGATAGCTCTGAATTCAGCGAGAAGGATTTGGATAGAAAGAGACGTAAAATTGGAGAGATTGAGCTTAAAAAAGAAAAGATTAAAAGTCGTGCTCTACTTGGTATCACCGCGACGCTTGCGATTGGGTAAGATTTTAATCCCTTCGTGAATCATCATTAATAATTTACTGACAAAGCTTTAGTGCTGCTGTTCAATACGTCTTTAATGCCTTTTAACCTAAAAGTTTAAATTTCAAACTTAATCTTCCTATTTTTGAATTATGTATTTCGATCTTTCTATAGGCTGCAGACTCCTTGAGTATTTACTTAGTTAATATTAATTTGGATTATTCTCCTTGGCCTGTGGCAAGCCTTTAGCTCGTACGAATCTCAGATAATTGAAAATTTCAGTCATTGGGCCTCCGACCAATTAACACTGTCGAAAGAATCAATGCACAATTACATGAAAAATCATCTATAGACTCTAATCAAAAATTAATATACTTACTAGTGGTTCAACGTCTCCTAGGATCTTATATTTGTAAGCAAGCTTTTTTGTAATATGTCAAAAATCTTCACCGTGTTGTTTTGAGCTTACAGTGTCTACTCAGCATGGTACAAGGTACTGGTGCTAGCAGAAAGTCAACCACTTCAAGGCCTCTTCGTTTCACAATCTGCGCAGGTTAAGAACAGTTAAGCAAGATTAGTCAAATGCTGCCCAAAATCACGCGCGGTATTCAAAGACTTGACCATCCCTCTAACAGAATCTCTACGATCATATCAATCCGGCTTTGATGTACTCAGATTAACATCAAGTCACATGGGGAACTAAGTGGCAAGACAACAGATATTTCCAAACTATAGATCGTCCTTACTCAACTCTGTCTACAATCAATTAATAAGCATAAAACGCTGCTTCGCCACTACCACTAGTTATCCTATACTGCCATATTACATTCATTACCAACTTTAAATCAATGATGAGTAGTGGATCATCTTCATTTGGTACGAAGTAATTAAGAGTGTTAACCTTTTCGTATCATAACCTCCTATCTGGCCATCAGGTAGGTTAAAATAAGGTTATTACTCAAAAGTTTATCACATATTAAGTCTAGCGATCTATCTAGACTTTAAGGGTAAGAAAGTCGTTTATAGTCACTTCAAAACGAAGTATGTACGAGTTTAACCTGGCACTCATCAATTCCCCGACAGGCATCATTCAGTTGTCATTGTGAGGACCCATCATTACTCATGAACTGCATTCATTCTAGAAGCTTCTTAAATCGTATTTAAAAGATATATATTGCCTATTAGGAGGTTCTTAGTAATTACTAGAACAGTCTTTACAGTGAAAATATTAATATTACTTTCTAAGTAATTCTTGCTTATCTCTAGTGTGGTCTCGTAAATACTACCAGAATGATGTGCCAAGAAAATATATTCCACTATTAACTGGAATGTTAAATCTGAATATAATTGCAAATAGGGAATCGTGTACACAAAACTGCTCAGAATACATTTTATAGGTTTCCTCACAGTTTCAAAATTTCCGGGGCGTACACAGGTTTCGTGCTGGGTCCTAATAATCCGCAATGGCTTGTGAGAGACAAAAGGCTTGTGCTCTAGCTTATCGCGAAATACGAATTTGTTTATCTGTAAAAGAGGACCTCCGGGTTTTAGATGTAATAGTTTCATCTCAAGATAGACTGGCTATCTCGTAGCCACAATAAATGAATTTATTGAGGAAACAGTGACCCTTTAGTCATTGAGAAACAAAAGCGCGATTATTCGAGTAACTACCGAAGTGAAATTAGGTGCAGTATTTGTAGTCACGTGTGTGCTAACGACGTGGCCTACTAGCTAGCCCTAATTATTCCAATTCGTAATAGAAATACATCCCATTCATTCTTGGTAAACATGAAGGGGGGCGAAAATACGGGAAATGGCTACAAGAAATACGATTCTTTACAGAGATATGCCCATAAAACAACTTGGAGATTCAATGGATGCCTAAAGCGAGCTAGCTGAGGAAGAAAGACAAGTGACTCAATGACGCAACAAATTTTTTTTTTTCGGCAGTGGAGGTCAACATTGAATGTGGACTGACCTACGCAGGGGATGGCGCCAAGCAATCATTACATAACCACACAAGAACTTCGAAATCTGCGGAAAGTAGCCATGTAAATGCACTTTTTATGTATATAAAATCTCGTTTTTTTTAGGAGGGCAAGACTGAACACCTGTACGCGGTGTCCTCTATGAACCTGGGAGTGAAATATTCTCCCAGAGCCAAGTTCAGTCAAATTTCGCAATGTCAAAGAAGTTGGCCCACGAGCCAATGATTCAAATTACTCAAACACGTCAAATTTTCACTCTTAAAGAGATTGAATCCTACCCAAGTCTCATCAAGTCTACAAGTACGACCTAGTACATCCTCATGCCAATGACCACACCTCTCTTCGACCTTCTCTGGTCTCAGTTGACCACCAAATACACGCCCACGCCGATATTTATACCCGACGGAGGAAGCAAAGCGTGGCGCACAAATCTGGGAGATAGCTCTTTGGGATGGACGTGAGAGGGATTAGGACAAGTTGACAAGATGACAAGATGATGCAAAGGAAGGATACAACCTCGGAGGGCGTGAGATTCCGAATTTTGGCAAAGAGTTTTACGAATTGAGCTTTGTGCACGCCAAGACTTCGCTTGCGAGAGAGCAGTTGACACTATAAAAACAAGCCGACGATGGGAGGTGCCGTGGTCCGCCTCCTGGTGGTGTTCTCTAGTAAAGTTTGAGTAGCCTGGGCACCTACTCCACTTGGGAAGGAGACATCTCAGATTACATTCCGCGCGGAGAAAAGTTGATGGATGACGGAGGCATGTCTGGATAACTCAGGGTTTTTGAGACGTTTCCCTGAGCGGGTATTCACGGATGAGGGTTGACTTGGGGTGAAGAAAAAGCCACCATAACTTTGCAGTGGTACTTGCAAATGAAATCCGAGGCATGAGTGCTCTTCCTTTACGTTGAATCATCTATTCTGTACTTTTCTTTGATATTGTGTCATAGCTAGATAGCTGCATACGCAATTAAAATCTGATGCAAAAAAAAAAAAAAGCCTGGTGGTGCTAAACAAGGAACCCATAAATCCTGCCTGAGGCATTTCTCCAGAATCCTTACAAATCCTAAGGAGAGAACTTCCACCACGTCTATCTAGTCATTTATATACGTGAATGCCTCCTCGCCACCAAGGCTAATCCCTCTCCTTTTCCTGTGCTATGGGGCTCTCCTAGTGTTCTGACTATGCCTGTAATTCAGCACTATCGCGTTATGGTCCGGAAGGATTGTACTCGGTCTCGTATATTCCCAGTCAGTGTAAGCCTATCAACATGTGGTGCAGTGCCGTACTGCCGTGCCGCACTGCCGAGTCCGATGCCATATGAATACCATGCAAATGCCGACGCAAAAGTATTGTATTGGGTGGCGTAGCACATTAGTGAATTGGTATTGATTAATAACGCCACTCGAACTAGGCCTAAGTTAACCAACATAGGCTACAGGGACCAATCGGCTTACCAGCCGTTACAAGATATCACTAAACCTCATATCGCCTAGATGAGTTTAACCATATTTAGTCGAATCAATTCAATTGATCTTGATGATCAAATCTAGAAATCTAAACCTTCATACATACTGAGTCTAGGTTTCCAACATACATCCCTATGAGAGGCATCGTCGAGGTTGCTGTTCCCTCAAACTTCCTCAGATTCCAGTACTTCGAAACCTTTCCCTCGGCCATCAAGATGTCCTTCGCCGCGGCGACGATCGCCTCTTCGGCCTTTTTGGCTGCGGCCCTAGCTCGAGCCGCCTCCGCGAACTTCCCTTGCTCGATGTGGCAAATCCGCGCGAGCTGCTCTTTGGTCAACGGTCCAGATTTTCTGGGTCTGACTTTGCAGTCCCGAGAATTCGATCGGTGAGGTCCTCCACAGTTGCGACTTTTAGTAAGGGCCTTGCACTCGGCTTCCGAGTGCATGTTAGATCTGCAGTTCCAGTAGGCTGGAGCTCGGGAGCAGCCACGGGTAGCGCGGAAGCCCAAACAGTGTTTGCACTGTTCAATCTGGCGACGAGGCTTTTGAATAGTAGCAACACCAGACTCGTTGAAGAGGCGCAAGCCCGCATGAGGGGTGAAATCCCGGGCAAAAATGGCATGCCAGTTTCTGTACGGCGTACCAGGACGGCATGTCCCGTGTGGTTGTACCTAGATTGGCACCTCTCGAGTACTAAGGTAAATCTCAGTTGAGATACACTAAGCATTAACTGTACGAGTACCGTCGATTTTTGTAGCATCGCGGGTACACTCACAATCCGAAAGGCGATAAGGCAGGAAGCTTCTTCGAGTATAGCGTTGTGTTTCGCCTGTTTTGGAGCAGCACTGAGCAGCCTTTGCCTAAGAGCTTCATCCTTTTCCGGAATCTCATAGCCGGTTCCGACTTGATGAAAGGAGCTGGCGTCTTCCGATATTTCCAGCAGCATAACCTATATTTCGGAGGTCAAGGCTGAACACCTCTTCGTGGTGTCCTCTATGAACCTTGGGGTGAAACGTTCTCCCAGAGCCAACTATAGTCAAATTTCACAATATTAAAGAAGTTGGTCCACGAGGCAATGATCCAAAACTCTCTACAAAATCAAACTGTTGAAACCTAGAATATACAATGTTAGTATAAGCTAAATAGCAAATGAGTCATACATTTACCTGGCTGTTAGTGTTTACCAGCTAGGTAGAACATTTGTGTGGTGTTAGGTTGAAAGAGATGTCAGTCACATGATGCTGACCTTCCGCCATTAAACGGGAGGCAGGAAGACAGATCACTCACTTCTACCAGGGTACCAGTAGAGGACACTTGCACCGTCGTTGAAGAACTAGATCACTCGTGGACTGCTAATTATGTATATAAGATAGTAATAGTTCGTTATAGTTTTCCTCATGCAATTTTACTCTAATTAATAGATCAATAATTATTTCATCTCAACAGATTATGAGACCAAACTCTGACCAGCTGAGACAACATTGATTTAAATTAGTAATCTTCCGAGTCGACAAAGATAGCATCCGTACCACTTGTGTCGTACAGCTTGAACACCAGTCCTGTTCA